AATATCGTGTATAGTTCTGATTGTATAAACGACTTTTAAAATTAAATCAAAAATTAGTTTCATCAAATGAGACTCAAATTTATTTTATATGAGAACTAACTTGGTAGAATAAACCACGGAAATAATAAGATTATAAAAATAGTTCTAGAAGAGTTTCAAATTGAGTATTAATATAGGTATATAGCAAAAAAAATTTAAATAGATTCAGCAAAGTAGTAAGATACCTAAAGTTTTTCGTTTCATAACAGTAATAACAAAATATCGAATGTAAGCTAATTGCTAGAAATTAAAAATTATAAGTTTTGAGCGAAAATATTTTGTAGAGTTCCAATCCGGATAGCGTTTATCCAAATAATTATCGGATATCCGGATAATTCAGATACGGATAAACGGATGATGGATTTATCCGGATTGGACCTCTAATATTTTGAATAAAGAATTTGTAAAACCAATATACCAGCTGTTAATAAAGTAAGCGCAATGTATCTAAAAAATTGTGAAAAAAAGTAAATAAGAATTTAACCAATTTTCGATTAAAATTTCTTCTTCTTACGCATATTCAATTCCTTTATTATACTTAAGAACGCCATTAGTTTGATCAAAAAGTTTGACTTTTGCCAACGCTATAATAAAAGGATTTAAGTACTGAATTGTCAACAAGTAGATATCTTATTTATTAGATCATTAATTGTTACCAAGTGATGGGCAAAGAAATGTGAGAATAAAAATTGGAATAAATAGTAATGCCAAACAAATAGTTCTTTTCACACCTTCGGACATTTTTTAAATTTGACTTTATTTAATTGTCTCCATATATACTATACACAAACAAATATCGTTTAATTTTATTATTATACAATTAAAATTTACTTCATTTACTTAAAACAATTCGCCAAAAAATCCACTCTGAATTCTGGATTCATTGTAAATGAATTTATCATTGTTTAAATTTTTACTCTACAATGCATTTTAAGTCTTCGCTAGATATAAAATTATCAATTGTTAATTTTATTTAATTGAATAAAACTATTTAATTTTTAAAAAAATATTATATACTTACATATTTTTTTTTGCTATTATTGGTTAGTTATGTTTTGCTTTGTTATGCTGTTTAATATCATGTTCTCTCAAAAAAACACGACTACATATCTCGCAATAAAATACTAATTTTGTCAGGAAAATAGCTTCTTTCATTTTGCATTTTATATATTTCATCAATTCATATTTGCATCTTGTGCAAATATATTGATTCTCATCACTAGAAATTAAGTGTACATTTTATTCATAAAAGATACGAAGTAATTTTAAAAAACTGTCGATTTGGTTTTTTGAATATTCTTGCATAATAGAGTCTACAGCATGTAGCCCTTAAAATTTACATGATTTAAATAATTTTAGACAATATTCAAATCTCTTTCAAAATTACAATTGAGATTGTTTTTATTCAGTTAAAATAATTTATGAGAAACAGCTTTAATTATCTCACTTTATAATACCGATTACTGGTTAGTCAGTTAATTATTTATTATTACTTTGTAGGTACTTTCTTTTAATTTGTAAATAATATAATACTATTAACTTTTGATCTTTCGATTTTAAATCAAATGTATTCAATTAAAATTTAATTTATGCGTTGAATTGACAATATAAAATTTTTATTTTTATCGTTTACAAAAAATTGTACTAATTTATTAGAATAATCAAGTTGAGGTATCCAAAAAATTAGTATGAAAATTGAATTAATTCAAATTTCTTCATCACCTATAATAAAGTTGACAATTTCAGAAAGTATGTATATATAAATTTTTTGTAATAATGACAAAGAAAAGTATAATTGGCGCATTTAATATTAAAGAATTTGGTGAAAAAAAATTTAATAATGACGTAATGAATATCATTGTCAAAATTCTTAAGCGATATGATATTGTTCTTTGCCAAGAGGTTCATTTATCTGAAGAACTGATCAAACAACTTGTTGACAAAGTATCAACGTCCTCTATTCCATATTCTTATGTGTCAAGTCAACCTATTGGTAAAAGTTCATATAAAGAAAGATATCTTTACTTATACAGATCGAACAAATAGAATATACTAGAAAAGTATGCAATTGAAAAGTTTTGTAACAAAATTTCAAGAGTACCTTATGTCGTTCGATTTCAAAATTTAGAAAAAACTTATATTAGAATTACTCTTGTTGGATGCCATACACATCCAGATAATGCGTATGATGAAATAAAGGCATTA